GTGGCGCAGTGGTTAAGAATCTACCTGCCAATGCAGGAGACACGGGTTCGAGCCCTGGTCCGGGAAGATCCCACATGCCGCAGAGCAACTAAGCCAGTGCGCCACAACTACTGAGCTTGTGCTCTAGAGCCCGCATGCCACAACTACTGAAGCCTGTGCTCCATAACAAGAGAAGCCACCACAATGAGAAGACAGCGCAGTGCAACGAAGAGTAGCCCCTGCTCACATAGAGAAAGCCCGCGCGCAGCAACGAGGACCCAACACAGCCAAAAATAAATAAATAGAACAAATTAAAAAAAAAAAATAGCCATGAACATTGCTCACACCAAGAGGAAGACCCACTCAGAAGTACAAAAAATTAAATTCACCATTGTTTTTTGTTTTGGGGGGTTTTTTGGCCGCACTGCGCAGCATGTGGGATCTTTAGTTCCCCAACCAGTGACTGAACACCCTGCAGTGCTGCAGTGGAAGCATGGAATCTTAACCACTGGGCTGTCAAGGAAGTCCCTAAATTCACTGTTAATTAAAGGAATGCAATAACAATGAGATGTCTTTACGAAGTTTTTCCTCTATCTTAATGACTATACCCAGTGGAGCTGAGGGTGCAGTGAAACCAGAGAAAAATATAGTCTTAAATTGACAATAAATAACTAGAGCCATAAAATGGTTACACCCTCATGCTCAGTAAATTCTATTTTGTACATCTATCCTAAAAGAAAACAATCCAGGACTTCCCTGGTGGCGCAGTGGTTAAGAATCCGCCTGCCAATGCAGGGGACACGGGTTTAAGCCCTGGTCCGGGAAGATACCACGTGCTGCGGGGCAACTAAGCCCGTGCGCCACAACTACTGAGCCTGCACTCTGGAACCCTCGAGCCACAACTACTAAAGCCCGCGCCTAGAGCCCGTGCTCCGCAACAAGAGAAGCCGCCGCAATGAGAAGCTCGCCCACCACAACAAAGAGTAGCCCCTGCTCGCTGCAACTAAAGAAAGTCGCGCACAGCAAGGAAGAACCAAAGCAGCCAAAAATTAATTAATTAATAAAAAAATAAAATGAAATTTAAGGGGCTTCCCTGGTGGCGCAGTGGTTGAGAGTCCGCCTGCCAATGCAGGGGACACGGGTTCGTGCCCCCGTCTGGGAAGATCCCACATGCCGCGGAGAGGCTGGGCCCGTGAGCCATGGCTGCTGAGCCTGCGCGTCCGGAGCCTGTGCTCCGCAACGGGAGAGGCCACGACAGTGAGAGGCCTGTGTATCGCAAAAAAATATATATATTTTTTTGGGGGACTTCCCTGGCGGCCCAGTGGTTAAGACTCAGCACTTCCACTTCATGGGGTGCAGGTTCGATCACTGGTCAGGGAACCAAGATCTCGCATGCCGCATGGTTCGGCCAAAAATAAAAAAAAAAAAAAAAAATTATTTTTATAGCCCAGAAGCAGCAAAAAGGAGACCGGAATTTGAGTCAGGAAAACGAGTTCTGCCTTTCCCCCACCTAAATGGAGGTCTTTGGTGAACCACTTAACAAGGCCTAACCTTTCATTAGGTTAATGTTCAGAGGATTCTTGGAAGAATCATGAGACAGGGTACATTGAAAACCCATAAAGAGCCAACAATTATCAAACCAGGAAAGAATTCATTCATTTCAACTAATATTTACTGATGGAGGCCCTGGGGATACAGCAGTAAGCATGACATTCAAACTACCACCAAAAAGCCACACATGTTCATTCCCTCTATATCTTTCAGACCGGTTTTTAAGCCTTTTCCTTTTTTTTTTTTTCATTCTTAAAGAGGGCACCAATATAAAATAAGAAAGAAAATAACATTTTTGTTATTCTTGGAGAAAGAAAGAAGTTGGGCTATGTTCCTTTGCCTGGCAAGAGAAGAAAGAAATTTCTCAACCCCCTTTCTCCCCATCCTGCTTTTACCACAAACATCTTGCTTTCCCTGGATATTTTCAAGAGTTCTAGAAACCACATTTTCCTGGCTTTTCCACCAGGTGGTATAGCACCAAAAAAACTCACTATTATCAATAATAGATCCTTCTGACAACACTTCTCTTTCCAACTCTCTGAAGAAACGATAAATTTCACTTCTACACCATATGGCAGGAGTGCCCACCTAATTCTTACAATCACCGGCGTAAAAAATGAAAAAAGGCTTATCTAACCTCAGGTAAAAGAAATGTTCTGTATTAAGAGCGCCTTGCTTTAAATTTAACTCACAAATCTTATCAGGAATTTAACAGACTCACTCTAAATAAACCCAAATGCCCACAAAAATTCAATTAGAACACCTTCTCCAACTGGCAAATAAGTCCTCTAACTCAGCACCCTGTATGTGTTATGTTAGAAGGGGAAATACACAGGCAATAAAGTTTCAGAATATACTGTGAAGCTCTTTAAGCAAAGGTCTAGGTCTTACTGTCCTGATTTTCAGCACAATCTTCAAAATACATATTGATGTCAAACCAATTCTAAATACTAAATAAGTAACATTAAATGAGTATAATATATATATACTAGATGAATATTACATAAGTTAATGAGTGTAACATAGAAACACCGTGTATAAACCCAGAAAAAAATATTTTTACTTTTTTTTTAAATAAATTTTTTAATTTATTTTATTTTTGGCTGTGTTGGTTCTTCGTTGCTGCACACGGGCTTTCTCTGGTTGTGGCGAGCGGGGGCTACTCTTCGTTGTGGTGTGTGGGTTTCTTGTTGCGGAGCACGGGCTCTAGGCGTGCGGGCTTCAGTAGTTGTGGCACGTGGGCTCAGTAGTTGTGGCTCACGGGCTCTAGAGCACAGGCTCAGTAGTTGTGGCGCACGGGCTTAGTTGCTCCGCGGCACGTGGGATCTTCCTGGACCAGGGCTCGAACCCATGTCCCCCCTGCATTGGCAGGTGGATTCTTAACCACTGCGCCACCAGAGAAGTCCTATTTTTACCTTTAAAGCGTTTTCATACAAGTTCAACCTGGATACTTCGGCCCTTGTCAAGGAGCATCTCACACCTGGAGAATTCAAGACCAGCTAGTGTTTTGGAGATACTAGTCACCTCCGGAATAGACTTCAAACTACCACAACCATCTCTGACAATCTCTATTCCAAGTGTCAAATGATGACAGCAAGAAAGTAGAGAAAGGAAAGAAAGGGGAGGTCAAGAAAGAAAGAGAAAAGCAAAGTGAAAAAAGCACAAGGAAATGCAATCCTTCTACGAGTGATTGGAGGGTGGTTATTTCTGACTTCGAAACCTCACAGCAAACTCCTGTCCTTAAAATACACTCCACTAAAAATAAGATTTCACTTGCTATGGACCGAATGTTTCTGCCCCACCCCTGCCCAGTTCACATGATGAAGCCCTAATGTGACAGGATTTGGGATGCGGGGCCTTTGAGAGGTAACCAAGTCTTGAGGGTGCCCCCCACACAATGGGATGAGTGTCCTCTTAAGCGGGAAAGAGGCAGCCCTTTCTCCGGGTGAGGACACTGCCAGAAGTCGGCTGTCTGCAAGCCAGGAAAGGGCCCTCATCAGAACCCGACATGCTGGCACCCAGATCTCAGACTTGTAGCCTCTAGAACTGTCAGAAACACATACTTGTTGAAGTCACCTAGCTCGCAGCACTCGTTACAGCAGCCTCAGGTTAAAGTGACTAGTAAATAGTATGGCTTTAAGCCTTAGAAACAATAAAGAACAGAGACCTACTGAACCAGAACTTCACTTGGGGTTAACTGCTACTGAATAAGGGTACCCGACTTCACTCTTGCCCTTCCCTCTCCCCTCTCCCCCCTTCCTCTGGTTTGGAAGTTAAGAGGTTCAAAAAACTTCCGAATCGTAACAAGAAATTTGACCTCATAAAGTGGTTAAATAAACTTTAAAAGTCTGGCAAGGAAACCCTGACACATTACTCCGTCCTCACCCCTCCCAGAAGGCATCACCCGGCCCTGAACGATTTTCCTTGCTTCTAGTCTCTAGAAGTAAGTCTGATGGCGATGTCTGGAGCGCGCCTACTGTTTTTTAAGAGCAACCAATTTGTTCCGGTCCAGCCTTCTCTCATCTGATACGAGCACGTCAGGGTTGGCAGGGCTTCCTTGGTGTGGCTCCCAGGGCCAGGAGGCCGCGGGGTTCAAGCGCCCGACTTCGAAGTCTGCCCAAGTGTCCCGTTTCGGGGTAACCTCCCTGACACTGTCACGGTCGGCGAAACCGGCCCAAGTCTTCCCATCTTCTCCCAAGTCATGCTTCCCACACTGCACGCTTCCTCCAAAAAAGGAAGAAACCAGCCGAAGGCTCAGCTCTCGCCGGCCGATCCTACCTAGCACCGGAACTTGTTTGCAAAACATTCGAGGCACCTATACAATTGACTTTACTGGAACCGCACAACCTTGACTCCCGCTACCAAGATTTAATGAACGCCTGCTCTGGTCTGGCCAGGCGTTCCTCTCAGCGCTCCCCCACCGATACCGCCACGAGAGGCGCCTGGACCGGGAAGGTAGGGGAGGCCAGGTCCCCACGTCCTCTCCCGGGTGTTACACGGCCCCCAGGCCACTCCAGGGGCCACAGGCCAGGGAACGGACTAATAGTGGGGGCCGGCGTGAGGCCCGCGAGGGGGCGAAGGGCGTCCCCAGGCGCAGGGGAAAAGCGGGGAGTGGCCGGCGGACGCCTCCTGGCTCTCAGAACTGCCCCCCCAGCCGCCGACCGCCGGAGGCAGAGCAACAGAGGCCATCTGCCGCAGCAGGCGGGAGCGGACCCTCCGCCTCCCCGCCCTCCCTCCGGCTTCCCTCCCCAGGGAGCCCCGCGCACGCCCGCACGCGCAAGCTCAAGGCACTACCCCGGCATCCGGAAAGACAGAAATCCCTTCTCGGAGGTCTCCTCCTCCTCCTCCTCCCTCGCGAGCATCCCCCCACGCGCCCCGCGGAGACCCGTGGACTTGGGGGTCCCGCCGCGCCGGGACTCCCCGGGAGCGACCGAGCGCCGGCTACTGCGCCTACCGGGCACGCCACTCACTTGCTGGCCGGCGCGGGGCTTGCCCTGGGGCGCTCTCCTGAAGAAGGAGGTCCTGGCGGTGAAGAAGAAGTCCTCGGCGTCCTCCTCCAGGCTGCTGTAGCCGCTGCTCATGCTGCTGGTCCCGTCGCGCGCGGGCCGCCTCCCCGGGGAGCTGGCGGCCAGGCAGGGGGTGTCGCGCCCGCCCGCCCCGCGAGGTTCCCGGCGCGCGGCCCCGAGCCGCCGGCGGACCGTCCTGCTGCAGCTGCGGCCGCCGCTCAATTCGGCCGTCCGCGCCCCTCCTGCCGCCTCCCGGCTTCCCGGCCCGATTATGGGCGCGGCTGGGGCCCTGAAGCTCCCTGCGACCCCGCCCCTGGGGCCCCGCCCCGAAAGGCCCGGGACGCTCCGCACGCTGCTTGGGCACTCCCAGCGCGGCCGCAGGTGGGGGCGGTGCAGGCGGCTTGTTCCAGGCGTGCTGCTCTTCCCTAGCTGTATTTGGGGAACCCCGGGAGCCCCGCCACGATGGCTGCGTCTGTGCACCCGGTCGCTTCCCCAGCCTCCCGGATCCTGCCAATTCCTCTGAGATCAGTCCACCCGCCCCACGCCCGGCTAACTCGGGTTTGGGGGAGGGCCCAAGCAGAGCAGGGAAATTTCTCCGCTGTCCCCGCACTGCTCGCCCCTTTTCGGGGTCCAGCTGGTGGCAGTGGAGATTGCCCGGCCGAGAGACCCCCCCCACAAGGCCCTCAGGCGTCCCGCAGCCGTTTCGCCCCGTCCTGAATTCCGGCAACTCGGCCCTCCAGGAGGGTTAAAAGTTAGCTGAGACGAATGGGGAGGTAACGACTGGCTTGAGTTTATTCAAATGAAAACATCCTTTCCGGAAATTCAGTTGAGCTTCGGTCTTTCCCTCTCGCCCTTCTTTCTAGTGAGGGTTCATTCCCAGATAAGGACCGCCAAGGTCATTATGATCTTTGAGGCCACGTGGTGCGAAGGGGGGTGAACTAGTTCTGCAGTTCGAGTACGTATTAATTAAACGTGCTTTTTAAATGTCCCCTTCCACAATCCTCTTTAAAGCTACAAGGCATGATTTCAGCGTTAGGGTGAAGGGTTCAGGGAACTCTATTCACCCTCCTCCTCAAAAAAAAAAAAAAATCCCTATTTTCTGAATCCTTTCTGTCAGCTAATCCTCTTTTAAAATGCAAATTTTTCCTCCAAGCCACCTGTGGATGTTAGCCATTTACACCTTGGTGTTATTGAATTGATTTAAATCACACTAATTTCCTTGCAGAGATCCTGACCGAAAGGTTGTTTTGAAGTTTCAGCCCTGCCGGTTTCAGTAAGCCGACTTTAGGAGAGGTTTCTTAGGAGGGGAAGAGACGGGTTAGGAAACAAATTTTTCAGCCATTATAGCTAAACTTTCTTGCATTATCTCCTTTAGTCCTCAAAACAACTCTATAAGGTAGTTAGGACTATTTTATGCTCATTTTACACCTAGAGCAGCTGAGGCTTAAAGAAAGGAAGGGAGCTGTAAGGTGGCAGGGCTGGGATCATTATGATCTAAAGATCTTCAGATACACTTCTAGGTCCTCTGCTTGGTCCTTGTCAGCCATGGTCGCTTGTGGACTAGCTGGGAGGGACAGCTGGCCCAGAGATGAGAAGAAGGAGAGAATTGGCTCTTGAGTCATCCTATTTCAGGCAGAAAGAAGGCTTGCATACCTGCTCTATCTTCCTTCTGGCTTACATCCAGTTTGCAAAGTTGTCTATTAACCCAAGGGATTCACAGCAACCCCAGGAGGCAGGCCTTGGAGTTACAGCCCATTTTAAAGATGCTGCAACATTAAAGCCTTCCCAGCCACACAGCTACTGAATAATTAGAAACCAGGAATTCTAATTCTATACTGTTTCACCCAGTCTAAGCTGATCCCTATGTATGCCATGTACATAACCTAATGTAAGGGAATGAGATGATATACTTACTTTATGATAGATTTTTGTCATTTGGTTTCCATTATTTCATTAACATAATCCTCATTAAATACTCCAATTTAAGAGTCATGTGTATGTTAAAGAATTTAAACAACGTGTTTTACTGTGAATGGAAAGAAGGAAATAACCCCACACAGAACAAATTATTTTACGCAGTTTCTGAATATTTTGAAGAAACATATTAAAAGAAAAAATACATTAAAGTGCTTTGTGATCCACCATACCATAAATAGGATTTTTTCCTGGTATTGTTTTTAAGTTCCAAAGGACAGAATTTTTATACCTGTCAGCACACCATTAGAATCAGGTGTAACAAAAAGGCATAATTGAATAATGAAGTAGAAGCACTGCTTTTAAACAACAAAAAGCAATAAATAATAAAGGAAAGAAGAATTGGCATTCTGTTTCCTAAATCAGCATAGTAATCATATATTTTTCTGATAGTATTTTTTTTTTAAACACTTGGGCAAACTTTAGTACCTTTTTTTTTTTTTGGCCACACCACGTGTCTTGTGGGGTCTTAGTTCCCTGACCAGGTATTGAATCTTGTCCCTAGGCAGTGAGAGCGTGGAGTCCTAACCACTGGACAGCCAGGCAGTTCCCCTGGTAGTATTCTTGATAAAAAAATATTATGAATTTAAAATTTGGTTCATAAAATTAGTATTTGGGGCTTCCCTGGTGGCACAGTGGTTGAGAGTCCGCCTGCCGATGCAGGGCACACAGGTTCGTGCCCGGGTCTGGGAAGATCCCACGTGCCGTGGAACAACTAGGCTGGTGAGCCATGGCCGCTAGGCCTGCGTGTCCGGAGCCTGTGCTCCGCAACGGGAGAGGCCACAACAGTGAGAGACCCATGTAGCACAAAAAAAAAAAAAAATTAATAATTTTCTGTAAAAATTCAAAATGTCAGATTAAGCATTTTTAACATTTAAAATTCAGGGAAGGGGATGGAATAACTAAAATGTGTGCAACCAAATTCAGCTGAATGGACTTACTGTCAAATACACAGGAGAATTTGTAAGAATTTGTAAGAAGAGGCTTTAGTAACAGTTATAACCCTTTTTGCTCACCAAATAAACCACCCAGGAGAAAAATAATCCTATAAATGTGATTATAAATCACGAAGTTTAAATCAGATTCTTTAAGTACTATATATCCACAAATAGTAGAAACTCAAATATCAATATAATAAATGTAGAAAAAAAATTTAGACACAGCTCACCCTTTGACTAAATATATTTAGAGGTAAAATTTTTCTTTTGTCAACTTGTCCTAATAAAACACAAGATCACAGAGGAAAAGACTTCTAGGTTTGACTATGTAAAATTTTTAATATTTTAACACACATAATGGCAAAAGACCGGGAAAAACTGGGGGAAATATTTTGTGCATAACTGTATCCTTAAAATACAAGGAGCTCGTATAAATCAATTAGAATTTCAACACCTAATGAAAAAATAAGCAAGGGACATGACAATCAGTTTATAAAAGGAGAAATAGGGACTTCCCTGATGGTGCAGAGGTTGAGATTGTGCTCCCAATACAGGGGGACCAGCTTTGATCCCTGGTCAGGGAACTAGATCCTACATGCATGCCTCAACTAAGAGTTTGCATGCCACAACTAAGGAGGCTGCCTGCTACAACTAAGACCCAGTGCAACCAAATAAATAAATATTTTTTAAAGTATATAAAAACTATTAAAAAAAGGAGAAATAGAAATACCTTATCAGTCACTTATAAATTAAAACATTCATTCAGTCAACAAATATTTATTGAGCACATGCTATCTGCCAAACACTAATTTCAGCACAGGATATATCACTGGACAAAAGAGACAAAAATCTTTGTTTTAGGAGAGCATGTATTTTAGTGAAGGTTAGAGGGAGATAGGCAAAATGAATAAGGAAATTATATAATATGTCAGAAGGTAATAAGTACTCTCACATAAAAATTATGGAAGAAGAAAAAAAAATTATGGAAGAAAGATGAAGAATGTTTTAAATAGACTGGTTGTTGACACTCTCACCAAAAAGGTCACTTTTCAGCAAAGATGTAGGAGGTAAGGAGCTAGCCATGCAGATATCCTTGGGGAAAATATTTCAGGCAGAGAACAGCAAGTGCAAAGGCCCTGAGGCAGGAGTGCATTGGCATGTTTGAATAAGAGCAGAGAAGTCAGTGTGTCTGACATGGGTGAGTGGAAGAGTTATAAGAATTGCGATACAAAAGGTTACAGGTACAGAAAGGTTACTGTTCCTATAGTACCTTGAAACAATTACAGGGACTTTGATTTCGCTTTTTACTCTGAGATGAGAAACCACTGGAGGTTTTGAGCAGAGGAATGACATGATTTGACTTACCTTTTTAAAGGAATCCTTTGGTTGCTGGGCAGAAAATAAACTGTTAAGGCTTATGAAAACTCAAGCAAATGAAAACAACAAGGTACATTTTTCATTCATGAGATTAGCAAGTATTTTTTAAAACAGGTCATGAAACAGCATGTATGCTATGACTACATTTGTGTAACCATAATTGTAGGTAATATTCTTAAGTTATACTAAAAAGTGAGGTAATTTATCTGGGAGATTTATAGTAAAGGTCACATTGACAGACAACTGTTGCTTTGATACCTTTGTCCTGTGGAAGAAGCGTGGCCTCAGAGGTTAGGCAGGCCTGAATTTGAATAATACTGTCACTCACTCTTGTGTGATCTTTAATAATTTAATTAGCTTCTCTGCCTCAGGTTCATCATGAGTAAAATGGAAATAACAATGTCCCTGTTTTAGCTCCTTTAGTTTACTTTAAGGATTAAACAAGAGAACCCATGTAAAGCCCTAAGCATAAAATAAGGCCAAGCAAATATTAGTCTTTCTTGACCTAAATATTAGACCCTGTTACATACTCAATATCCACTACTCACTTCCTTGTTAACCAAACAAGGGCTTTAGTTCAGGAATCCTCCCCTCCCAGGGAAGGTGATCCAATCCCAGCTTGGGAGAAAAGCCTGATTTTTCAGTCAGTTGTGGTGTCCCATGGCCCTTCCCAGGGATCCCTTTAAGGTGTGAGCAGGTCTCCTACAGACCTGGCCGTTGAGACTTTGAGACCTGAGGGAACGTCAGCTGGGTGGCCTTTGGGAAATTTTTCCTCACCTTGAAAAGAGACTCAGCAAATAAGGCTCTCTTCCACTGGATCTTGTCATGCCTAAGTGTGGTTCCCGGGAATTCTGTAGCCATTTTGTAGACAAAACGGAGAGGCTAAAGATGGCAAAGCAGAATGATGCAAAGAACTGG